GGGGGGCTTACTTCACTTAGAATGACATTCTCCAGGTCCATCCATGTTGCTGCAAATGGCATTATTCTTTTTTATGGCTGAGTAATATTCCATTGTATAAATATACACATCTTCTTTATCCAGTCATCTGTCAATGGACATTTGGGTTGTGTCAAAGTATTGGCTATCGTAAGTAGTGCACTATGAACATTGGGGCACATGTTATCTTTTCGAATTAGAGTTCCCTCCAGATATATATGCCTAGGAGTGGGATTGCTGGACTATATGCTAAGTCTATTTTTAATTTTTTGAGGAATCTCCATACTGTTTTCCATAATGGCTGCATGAAACTATATTCCCACTAACAGTGTGGGAGGGTTTCCTTTTCTCCACAGCCTCTCCAGCATTTATTGTTTGTGGACTTTTGAATGATGGTCATTCTGATTGGTATTAGGTGATAGATACTTCATTGTAGTTTTGATTTGCATTTCTCTTATAATTAGTGATACTGAGCATTTTTTCATGTGCCTATTGGCCATTTGTGTGTGTATTGGCCATTTCTCTTCATTGCTTGTTTATATCTTCTGCCCGTTTTTGGATTGGGTTGTTTGGTTTTTTTGTTAAGTGGTATGAGCTATTTATATATTCTGGAACTTAAGCCCTTGTCAGTCATTTGCAAATATTTTCTCCTATTCTGTAGGTTGTCGTTTTGTTTGCTTACGGTTTCCTTTGCTGTGCAAAAGCTTGTAAGTTTAACTAGGTCCCATTTGTTTATTTTTGCTTTTATTTCTATTGCCTGGGGAGACTGCCCTAGGAGAACATTGCTAAGATTTATGTCAGAGAATGTTTTGCCTGTTTTTTTCTAGGTTTATAGTTTTGTCTTACATTTAAGTCTTTAAGCCATTTTGAGTTTATTTTTGTGTATGGTGTGAGGGAGTGTTCTAACTTCATTGATTTACATGCTGCTGTCCAGTCTTCCCAACACCGCTTACTGAAGACTGTCTTTTCTCCATTGTATATTCTCGCCTCCTTTGTTAAAGATTAACCGACAATATACGGCATTTTTTACTTTCAATAAGAGAGTTTAGTCTATCCTTTCCCATCCTCCTTCAACTAGTTACAAAGCATGAAAGTCTTACCCAGGGATTTTGAGCCAAGGTGGCTCGGTGGGCTCACGCTTTGCCAGGCCGTCTTTGCTCCAGACATCTTACAGTGTTAGATGTAAGAAAACCAGAAAGTGTCAGCTAAACTCGTAAGTGAGACACGCACCTGTCAGGGACTGCAAACCAAGCAGAGACTTTTTGTGCGGACAGGGCACTGAGTGCCACCCTAGGGTTTTTCGGGCTTCCCTCACCCCCTCACCCTGGTTCCACATTCACCACCAGCAGGTATTGTGGCTTTGTACTGAAGATGACTCCTACTTCCATCAGAATGCAGCTTT